CCCGAAACCGGGTGATTTTTATTTATTTATTTTTTAAACGGGCCCAGTGCCCAAGGCTGATATTACCAATGAAAACGGAAACCTGGTGATCTAGCCATGAGCAGGTTGAAGAGAGAGTCCTAACGGGCCTCGGAGGACCGAACCCACATATGTGGCAAAATATGGGGATGACTTATGGCTAGGGGTAAATAAAGAAAAGAGTAAGAATCAATCGTCCGAGTATTGATTCTTCAGCGTATTTTACGCTTCATGCCTTTTGCCCCATAGGCGCGTGAGCGCTTATAGAAAAACTGGCTCATAACGGTGGAACCGTTAGTTCTTATTTATACAAACAAAGAACCATGGCAATACCGTGGGAAGTCGGTGGATTGTATGTAGAAAAGAAAGCAATTCAATGAACTCGAGCGCCTTCATAGACCCCGTAACGACCGACTCGAAAGAGGAGAGCATGATTGATTTCATGCTAATACACACCAGGTGCAGTACTGTCGTCCTCGGACTCGACATGTACTATTCCTGGATAACGTGTATTGAAGGCAACGACGTCGTTCCATACGGTTGTGAGCATGCCGGCGGCGCATATCTCTAATCACTGCAGGTGTGGTGATCATGCTGTTCACGGATAATAAATGCGGCCGCTGTGTGTCAGCGCATTTTAGATTTTTGACACAACAGCCACTCTTCCACCCTGATGAGTAGATCCAAAATCAACGCAAGTAAAATTCTACCTCTATTGCAGACACCGAAAACTTGAGATACTCCACTCCACCAATGAAACAGTTCTGCCTCTAGAGCAAGCAACAGGGAGCAGAATAGATCCATTTTATCCATACATGCAAGCGCACGTCGTGCACTGATTTGCGGACTGTTGGCGCTCAAGCGCACCCCGACGAAGCGGCGCACGAAGGCCCAGGCCAAAACTAAAAAACAAAAAAAAAGTTGGGATGTTGATTCATCGCTGGTTCGGCCCCCCAGCAAAAATGGATTTGGGGCCCAATTTGTTTTTAGCGGGTCGCGCTCAAGCGCAGCCTGAAACGATTTCGAATTTGATTTTGGGAGGGGGGGTACCTTTTTTATAGTTTTTGCAGGTAGATACTGGCAGGGTTTCGGCGGGCCATTTACTCGTTGCAGCCGCCTCCAGTCCACTCCAGGAAGCAGCGCCGTCAGTCCCCCGCTACGAGCAGCGCCGACCTCCCCCTGCATTTGCATCATCACCGAGGCTGAGCTCTGGAGCGACCATCGCCGACTTCAACCCTCCTCGAAGGTGAGTCTACACCTGCCCTCTTGCCCTCCCTCAAACTCACCTCCTCCCCCTCCTCCTCCTCCTCCTCCTCCACCTCCTCCATCTCTCCTCCTCCTCTCGGTATTGTCCTTTCCTTTTTTTCCATAGTATAGGATCTTGTACTCGGAGCTTTGATAGTATCTCGGACTATCTCCTCGTCTTCTCCACCGCCTCCTCGTCACTTCCACCTTCACCTCTCATCAGCCTCCCCTCCTTGTGTATCTTTCCTTCTCCTCCTCCTCCTCCTGTCCTCCTCGGCCTCCTTGTCAAGGTCTCGTCACCTTTTCTTGTGTAAACTTCGATTTGTGTTGGTATCAACTCCTCTCCCTTAGTCGTATATCTTTCCTCCTCCTCCTCCTCCTCCGTCCCTCATCCATCTTTCCTCCATCTCTCCATCTCTTCTCCGCCATCTCTCCATCTGTACTCTTCCACGTCTCATCCTCCTTGCCACGGCCTCGTCACTTTTTCTTTTTCTAATGGGAACTTTGAAATTCGAACTGTGATGGTATCTCGTCCTCCTCCTCGCCCTCTGTCTCCTTGTCCTTCTCCTCCATCCCTCCTCCTCCATCTCTCCATCTCTCCTCCTCCATCTCTCCATCTCCCCTCCACCTCTCATCCTCCTCCTCCACCTCTCATCCTCCTTGTCACGGCCTCGTCATTTTATGTTTTTTTTGGACACTTCAAATTTCAAACTGTGATGGTATATTCTCATCATCGTCGTCGTCCTCCTCCTCCATATCTCCTTGTCCTCCTCCTCCATCCCTCCTCGTCCTTCTTTCCCTCTCCATCTCTCCATCTCCTCCTCCACTTCTCATCCTCCTTGTCACGGTTTCGTCACTCTTTTCTTTGTTTTTACTGGAAACTTCTGAAGTTCGAACTGTGATGGTATTTCGTCCTCCATATCATGTCATCGTCATCCTTGTCCTCATCCATTTCTCCTCCTCCTCACCACCTCCTTCTCATCCACCTGCTCCATCTCCTCATCTTCCTCCTCCATCTCATCTTCTCCTTGTCACGCCCTCATCACTTTGTTTCGTTTTTTTGAATGAAACTCTGAAAATCGAACTCCGATTGTATTTCCTCCTTGTCATGTTGTCGTCGTCACTTCTTTTTCCATGGACATTTGGAACAGCAATTGTTTCTGTTTCTGATAGGCAATTAATTGCTTTTTTTTCCCGTTTATGTTTTGCAAACGCAGTGAAGTGCTATTTTCGTGTGGGTTTTGGGGGGGTGGGGGCTATGAGGGGGTGGAATAAGGCTGATTTCATGGGGTTTCATGGGGAGAGGGAAGGGGGTAGGGGATGTGTGTTTCAGAGTGGACGCAGGACACGACTGAGTTTGTGACTTCTCTTCTGCGGTTTTGTGTGCAGATCACAATGGCGACCCGCGTGTATAGTTCCACTTTGATAAAGCGGCATGGCCATGAAGATGGGGTCCGTGAAGGCGGGGTAAGGCAGGTGTTGATCCATGTGGCAAGGGCGACTGACGGCGGCAGCGGTCTTCTTAGTGTGTCGAGTGTGGGTAGGTATAGAGGAAAGGTGATTGCTGTACCCACCTTGCAATGATTATGAAAAAAAAAAAAAAAAAGGATTCCGAACGGGATATGGCCGCACCCAACAGCTCGCGGCCCCGTGCGGTCCTGTACGGTGCGGGTACGGGCCTGAACGGAGGTTACGGAGGTCCCGGACCGGACCCCGTACGGCGCACCGGACGGTGCGGTTGCAAGTATGATTTTATCCCTTTCTTGACTTACTCAAAAGTCATTTATCCATTTCTTGACTTACTCGAGGCAAGTCATCCCAAGCACGAAACAGTTCTTAGTACTTTTTACCTCTATAGCAAGCAACACGGAGCAGAACAGTTCCGTTACATCCCTTTCCCAACTTTCCCGATATGAGTCGTTCCAACATGAAACAGTTTTTCCCTCTACAGCAAGCACCATGGAGCAATAGTGAAAGGCACCCTCATAATGACGCACCACCCCGAAGTACCGAACCTGTGAATAATCAGGGAGGCCATTTTCCGAGCCCACAATCCACCCCCATATTGACCTTAGCGAAGTTTGCAGGAAGCGGAGTTTTCCAGGCAAAGGACCCTCGTCATACCTATATCAGACCAGAAAAATAGCTTCCGTACATTCAGAACGCCTGCCTTCAGAGACCACAAATCACCCTCGTCATGGCTGTATCAGACCCGCAAACTAGCTTCTATACTTTCCAAGGAGACCACCACCTCTATTTTGGAGCGATGCTGCTTGACTGCATAGAAACCACTTTCCAGGTCTCATACAGTCACGATGAGGGTGCATTATGTCTCCAATCAAGACCAGGAGGCTCCCTGAATGTATACACGCTATTTTCACATCTGCTGAAGAGATGACGAGGCTGTGTTGTGCGTTGAAAACTCACCTTCGTGGAACGCCGCACAGAGGCCAAAATACATTCCTAAGAACTCTTGCCTCTACACCACAGACATCCGTCGAGTGTCAGAGGTATACGTTTAATGAACTTTAATGATTGAATCCTCATTGTGACCGTTTCAAACTTGAAAGTTAATCCAGCGGCCTAACTCAGTTGGTAAGGCTTGCAAGTGGCATTCAGGAGGTCGTGGGTTCAATCCCCATTGGCCTCATGTACCTTCCTGGGCATGCTTGGCGCCCGCCACCTAGAGATAGACCACTGGATCCCCCGATTGGCATTTAGCAGAGTCTGCTGATGTTCAYAGGGGAGGGGACCTGAGGGGRGGCACAGGGATTGGTCCTGTTGGCATGGTCCCTGATGCTACTGGCTGTCCCCTAGCCAGTATCGCCCACCTGCAGGTCGGGAGCAGCCCCCGCATGTTCTCTCATGAACATGGTTCTGGCTGCTACGGGGTTCCCCGTATGCCTACAATTAGTAGTGGTATAAAAAAAAAAAAAAAAAAAAAACTTGAAAGTTTAAAGATACATTGTATACAGTCAGGAATAGGGGGGCAAGGGTTCGTAAAGCCCAACCAAACGACGGTTACCATTTCAGCTCTACGATCCCTTTAAAAAGTTCCTTTTTTTATTTTTTCCCCCGGTCCTCATTATAATAAAAAAAAAAAAAAAAAAAAAAAAAAAACGCAGAAAAGTCGTGAAAACCGAGATGGTATTTTTTTCTGGCCGGCCAGGCACCCGGGCAAGTTGCCCGGGGGGAAGGGACCTCTCCGGGGTAGCCGAGGGACAAGTAAAAAAGTACATGAATTTTTTATGTTTATTTTTTTGGCCTGCGGGTGTCTTCTGCACATGCAGAGAGGACCCTGAATCCGGGAGATTTTCTTCTTTTTGGTGTTGGTTATGAAGGGGGAGAAAGGGGGGTATAAGTTGGTGGCTTCACAGGGGCTAAAGGGGTTTAATTTGGGGTCATAAATTGGCTTCAGTGAGGAATTCAGATATACCCTTGAGCAAAAAGTTCGTTTGCATTGCAAATACAACATTTTTTTTTTTACGGAATATTTTTGAATTATTTTTACTTTTTTTTTTTTTTTTTGCACTGGGGCTGCCCGGGATTCATGTTGGGTGCCCAGGCGCCCCGAAAAACAACCTAGCTGAAAACTGAGAACAAAATGGTTCCCCAAACTCCACAGCCATTTCAGAGAAGCACAGCAAACACCCATAAGGACTGTATTAGACCTGAAAGATTGACTGTATCCATTTTCCCTCATCTTCCCCACGATATCAGCACACGTTCATGCTATCATAGGCATTTCTCTTTTGTTTTTTTTCATCAATTAATGAGTTCTGGAAAGTTTACCAGTCACCACAAACAACACTCTTTGACTCCCCCTGATAAAATGCCATCGACGACGTCTTCCTCCCTCACACTGCTCACATCCCCATCCTCCTTGAGAACGTCGAAATCCACACGAAGGCGATTTTTTCAGTTTGAAGAGAACCGAGTTCAGTATCACCAACGACTTGCATTGGATGCGAAGTAAAAACGAAAAAAAGTTAAAAAAAAAAACAAACGGAAAACAGAACACGATTCGCCGGTCGGTTACTTGATATACCACTCTTACTTGCCTAAAGATATGGCCTTCAGAGCATTGGTAAATCTACTTTTCAGAGCGCTCAGGCTAAACATCATGCTCTACATATGTCATAATTGTCATTAGATTATCACTGTCCCCATCCATAGCAGGATAAGTCTCATTCTATTTGACAACTATAACAGCTATATAACCATTATAGTTAGTCAGACCTTAGGTCAGGATTTCATAACAATAAGCCAGGCTCGGAGCCGAGGCCCACAGCCTGAAAATCAGTCTTTTCGAATATATTCTACGATGCACTCGTCACTAGAGTGTTCGTGTTCTCCCAGCCATCGACTCTTTTAACTCTGGTTCATGGCCAGGCACAGTAAAGTCGCATGGGAAATTTCGGTTCATCTACATTTGTCGTCCTGTGGCTCGTACATAACCTCAAAATTCCTTTGGTGCAAGCATGGACTTCAAGGGGCAAAACCTCAAGGACTAGCTCCTGCAATGCACTCTACATACCTGCAAGAGTGCTCGTCACGTTCAGCACGCTATATAGCCTTGGGAACAGTCCGCTGGAAGACGCATGCAAGATCCCTCGACAGCGAGTTCCGCTTGCTCCCAGCATAGATGCCCCGATCTCCCTCCTCCTCTCATTGTACAGCTCCACTTTGGGCTACAGCCTTCTGTGCGACTCCAAAAGTTCGTTTTGCCCCAGCGAAGCGCAGCAGAACACCGAAATCCCCTCGCCTCGGGAAGAAACACATACATCAGAGACTGAAATCACGCCCCCCATCTGCACACACGTCGGGAGAGAATGTTGGGCGAGAGCGTCGGACACACTGACTAAATCGCGTCAAATGAGCAATAATGTAGATGTGCTTTCCCCAACTGTGCCTCTACAAAACCCTGTCTGGAAACAATCCAAGCACTTCCACAGACTGGGGAGAAAGAGCTGCAGTCCTTTGCCACAACAATTGCTTAAGCTTCAGGACATCCGCTGAGGTCTGCAGACCTTGCTTGGATTTCCAACCAATGCATATGTATGTAAGAAGATCCCAGATCACAACAGCCAATGCAGGTGTCGGCAGCATCCACAAATTCCCACCACAACTTCTCTCCAGGGTGACGAGAGAGTTGTGCGCACAAATTGACCGCGTGTTAATCCAATGCAAATCATGCAAATATCTGTTTGCCAGCCACCTCCTCAGTTCTCTTGAGAACAAGGTAAGTCGCATCCCCCCGGAATCCGGCTCAAGAGTCTGAGAGCACCTCGTGATCATCTTCTTGAGCATCAACCCACTGTTTCTCAGCTGGGTCTCGGGCTCAGTACAACCTCGATTCCCTGCCCGGGTGGATTGGCTCCACAATGTTCCCTCGTTGAAGAAGCTGCAATGCCTGTGCTCCTGACCCTCCATGGAGCTGTGTTCGGTATTCTCGACCTGCACAGCAGAGCAGCAGAATTCTGAAAGGCCGTGGAGTTCAATCAACAACCTGGGACCCCTGAGAGTGCCTCTCTCGAGTTATAATTTGGATGGACTCGTGAAGCACGGCCCAGCCATTCGTCTGCACACCACTATGCTGTGACAAGTTGTAGATCGTCATCATTACTCGGGGGCTGATCGTCATCATTACTCGGGGGCTGAATCCGCGGCGTCGTGTGCACCCTTAAGACACTGCACAGACAGCTGTGTTATCACACAGCCAGGTTGGCCTTCAGCCTCGTACATAGCAGAGAGTTAGTTACCTGCAATGCACTGCAACTTCCTTTGGGAACACCTACACGAGATACCGTACAGCTTCTGCCCACACGAGGCCAGATCACTGGCCCCCTCCTGCAGAAAATTCAATCAGCGGACCTCCGCCGAATAGGCATAGGACCATGCACACGATATCCCGAGCAAGGAATCCGAAAGGAGATGTGACGCACAACAATTGCTTTCGAGCAGCCAACAGGCATCTCCAGTGTTCTCACACCAACAGCATCGTGTGTTCACTATCAAAGGAAAAAGAGATTTGCTGAAGCTTGCCCCGAAAGCACAGCAGGGTGAGAGGAGACCGTGCTGAGAATGCCCTGTTTGCTGAAAAGTCCGGCTTCACTCACGTGCCCATCACTCCGTTGTTTGGTCACTGTCACCTCGAATTCCGTCTGTGCGCCAGCAATAAAATCTAATCCAATCTAATCGTGCAAGCGAGCGATCGGTGAATTCATCAGGACCATGACATGTTCATTTGTCAAGTGTCACCGAACTTCGTGGCAAATGCGCCCAGGAGCTGCCGTAGCCTCGCATTTCCTTAAACAGATTGTGCGTGACAACTTCAAACTTACCCTGAACCTGGGTGCATACCAAGTCTATGTGCATGAACTCTGAGTCTACACAGGACGGTGGGGAGTGGCATGCCAAGTCTATGTGATAGACATGCAGAGGCTTCAAGCACATCCTCCATCCATAGTAGGGGTCCCGGATACAGCGCATACGTAGGTATGAGCTGGCCTCACTCACACCTCAAGAACTCGTCTTGTAAACAGGCAAAGCCAAGACTCACCGACACCCTCCATCATATCATCATCACAAGATCGTATAAGATCTTTGAAGTGAGAACTCCAATCCTTCCTCGTTGCCCTCGAGATAAAAAACAATTCTACAGATAGAATTCTTCGTTCACGCATGCCAGCCCTCCAGTTCGTTCAGCAGCAGCATCTGAATGTTCGGGGATGGCGCTCCCTTTTCCTCCAGTTTCCTCCTGCTTCCAGGAAAGGAGATCGCACCCTCGGATCGCGCAGAAGGGATTGATCTTCCCAGGACGTTTCAGAATCACTGTGCTCGACATCGAAGACACTTTTCCTTCCTGCCCTCTCCACGCCGATGCTGCTGCAGCATCCACCACCACCACACAGACCCTATCCATGCACTGCCCCCACTAGCCCTGCATCTGCTGCTGCCGCCGCTGCTGCTCTGCCCAGTGGTTTTGTGCTTTGCCATTATCATTTCTGCTGCTCTTCTCGACACTTCCATAACACTTCTGGACAAATCAGCATGAGGGATGAAGCTGTGCATTCGTCTTCTCGCTAGAGGCCAGCACAATGTGTCGGTCTTTGCAAATGCCTCCTGTGAAAACCGATCGAGTAACAACAAAGTCATGCTGGCACCTCAAAGCAAGTGTACCATAACAGCAGATCAGCGGTATTGTCATCCAAATGGAGGTGTTGGTAATGTTAGGCGCAACGGAGGGACGTCTCCCCGTCCCTAAGGGCCAGCCTCTAGCTCTCACACAGTGTCGCATCTCATGTCGTTGTTGTTTGAATGAGGCGGCTCGTTTTCTCCAAAGCAGAGCCTGCTCCTTCATGGTCCTCCGTTCGTGTTGAATCTGAAATGTAGACCAGTTGCTGGGGATTCGAGTTCTCCCCAACTGAACCCTAACCGCACCATTGGACCCACTGACCGCTTTGCTGAAGTCCTTTGCACTGCACCCTGCACACTGCCATTCATTGGACATGTACGGGTAGAGTACAGACACAGACAGCAACTGAAAAGAGACCTCCAGCTGCAGATCTGAATAAGAAACGACCTGTGCAAGAGAACAGGAGCATCCAAACAACAACAAAAGACATTATTACTTCACACAAATAGGCCAAACATCCCCAACACCAGAAACGAAATCCTCCAGCACCTCTCTCTCTCTCTCTCTCTCTCTCACACACACACACACACACACACACACACACACACGACTGGTTGGAAAACGCTGCTATGACGACTCTTGTGAGAAATTATAGCTTTGCCAAGGACGACTGATCCAGTCAGAATCCCATCTTTCACAAAATGACAATCCTGTCGTCAACCATGTACCTTCCATGGATCAACAGAAACTCAACGACCCAATTGCAATCAAGAGGAGCACCTCAGCAAACAAACACTCGGAAAAGAAATTTCTATTGAGCACTAGACGACCCTGACAAGATGTCATTGCTGACAAGCATAAACCCTGGCTACGAATCTGTCATGTTGATTCCAACTAAGCAGAAACACTGGTATTATGTTTCTGCTTAGTTGGAATCAACATCACAGTAGACGGGATTACTCCACGGAATATCGATGTGGAAGAGTCTTCTTTTTTTTTTTTCCCCCCTTTCTTTCTTCTTTTTTGGATATGAATCTCGATATGGAAAAGTCTTCTTTTTTCCTTTCTTTCTTTCTTTTTTTTTGGATATGAAAGAGTGACATGCCTCGAGAGTCGAGAGCAGAAATGCAAACCGGCTGTAACACACGAGTAACCATTTTCACACATGAAAAACAGGTGCACCCATCATCACCATCATTCACAATCACTGCCGCCAAAAAAAAAAATGTCCACCACGAAGATCATGAACAGCAAGCACACTGGCTCCAACTTTTTGAAGCGATTTACGTTGACTGCAAAGCTCACCGAATCAGCTTGAATTCTCTTCAAGAAACAAAGGGGTTGTGAGCATGATAGCGACTTGGCTCATGTTCCTGTTGCCGGTGTTGACGTCCCTGCTGTAGAGACTCCACTGTGGCAATATCGGAGAACGCAAACTCCAGCCCTCTTGTGGCCATGATTTGACCTTTCCAAGCATCCATAGCGCCGCCTCCATAGGCGCTACTGAACAGGGAGGCTGCCTGTGACTCAGGTGTGACTTGGGGCATCTCTGGCTTTGATTGTGTGTACTCGTCCAGCCATGCGTAATCATCTTCTTCCGCAAAGACCTGTGGCATCTGAGCCTGCTTGGTCCATGGTGGCAAACTATTTTGGTCCCGAATAGAGCATTGCTGCTGCTGCTGCTGCTGCTGCTGCTGTGATGCCTCCATCTGCAAAGTCCTGGAGTCCATTCCCCCAGGGGAAGGAGTTGGTATCCTTACCGGGGTTTGCCTTGAGAGAATGTTGTCACCCGTACTCCAGGAAGAAGAACCGAGTCCTGGAAGTCCATCGCCGTCATTTACACCACTCAAACCGGTCGCTGAAGACCTCAGAGCTCCAACAGGGCTGTTCCTACCATAGCCAACAGGAGCCTGAGGAACATACCGCGACCCAACGAACCTAGCATGTGTGTTACCATCCATACCATTAGGCACCTGCACTTGATCACATCCGAGAGGTAAATCGGTGCTACTAACACCAGCAGACGCGGTCCCATTTGCAGTAATCTCCCTGAGAAGCATCTCTTCAAGGTAGCTCGAGGTCGATGCCACCATTGGCATGCTCATACCAATTGGCAAGTTCCCCTGCTGATGATAGGGCAAGGCACCAGATGTCAAGCGGGAGCAAGGATGCGGAGGCTCATGTGCGAGCAATGATCCAGGCCCTGCGGGTCCTGACAAACCCATGCCCAAGTTGTGCAGTGCGCCATCTACACATGACATATCCCTGCTCGCCTCCAGCGAGTTATACCTGTTGTACTGGTCACTGTAATGGTCGGGCATCCAGTTGATCGAGGAATCGAGGCTTTGCTCTCCACCAGCCCATTGTTGCTGCATGAACTGCTGACGGTGTTGCTGCTGCAGAAGCTGACCTGATTGCTCTGCCAACGAATGAGATGCCTGCTGATGCTTCTGGTGCTGGAGCAACAGCAACTGGTGTAGTTGACTGTCGAACTGCGATTCCTGTTGCTGGTTCCCCATATGCGCTTGGTGTTGCAACAGCTCGGATGCAGTGGGGCCGTTCCAGTACTCCTGGAAAGTTGACGGCATGGACACCGAAACCCCATTGAGGGTGGATGCCCCCATTCCAGAAGTGGTCATCATTCTTTCTGACACCATGGCAACCTCACCTGCAGTAGTCTTGCTATCAGTACTGCCTAAATTCCACCCGAATGTGGAAGAAAGGCCCTCGTTACGGCCCATAGCCATGCTCGTACTCGCGAAACTAGCACCCCCTGAAGTTTCCTCCGGACGACCACCAACCCCTGGCCCTCCTCTGCCTCCTTCACCTCCTCCTTGGTCACCCAATCCTCCAAATCTTCCAAATGGGATTCCCTGCTCGTGTGCAGCAGCATACTGGGATGTCTTTTCAAATCTACTGTCAAATGGCATGTCAAGGAAGCTGTCATTCCCATCATCACGACCGCCACGTTCGCCCCTCAGACTGCCTTTCGACAAATCAGTAAGGATTGCCTCTTCGGCACTCTTTGTCGCCTCGGCATGAAACTGCATGCCAGAAGGCTGCCTTTCCACAGAAGGGGATGCCAGAGACAAATTCGGCGTCCTTACAGCAGGCTTAAACACAATGACTTCTTCATCATCTTCATGGATCTTTGGCACAGTGTACAAGCCAGGTACCATACCTGACACGTTGCTCATGCTATCCTGGTTTACGTCACCTGGCAACTCTCCCTGATCTGCACCATCTTGAGCTTCCGCAGTCTCCGTATTGCCCCTGCTCAGAGTGTGCTGCTCCAGCACACCATCATCCTCGGACTCAGCTTTCACACTGAGTTGCTCCATCTCAGCAAATGACTTCTCTTTAGCCGGCTCATCTCCAGGTATTATAAACATCTCCCGTTCTTCATCATAATGCATTCCATTTTGAGATCCCTGGAACAAGGAGGCAGCCGCTTTACCAGCTGCAATCAAGCGCCGCACTCTTACCTTCTCCTCCTCCTTTGTGGATGAGCCCACTCGGGGAGAAGGCTTCGAGTAATCAAGAGCAAGCTGAGCAGGGAGAAGAGGATTAAAGCCCCTCAGTTCGAAATCCTCCCACAGGGCAGTGCCCCCTTCCTTGAGACCCATTCCGTCTAACATGCCTGCCAGTCGATTTGCCATGTCGAAAAATCCACCCTGACCCTCCAGGGTACCAAAGTCGTCCCGTGCGCCCTGGTCATCCTTCTGCAGGAGGAAATTAAGCAACTTGGACGCTTCGCGCCAGAAGAACACACGTGCATTCATCTGCTTCTCGTCCCCATCTGATCCTATGGCCATTTCTGACCGGCAAGCTAGCCACTCAAGAAAAACAAGCAGGCCTGGCAGGAAATGACTTTTCTCCACTTCGCTGCTTGCTGCACAGCGACGCATCAACCTTCCAGCACAGTCAAATGCCGCTGTAAAAGCATGCTGAAATAGAGTGGGCCTACTGAGTACCTCTGCATACGTGGGCTGATGCCTCTCTTGGGTCCATGAAATGTTATGCACTGTGAAAATCAGAATTGCGACCAACTGCAGGACCCCAACACTCCCATTGCTTGCAAGACCCGTAGCTTTCCGATGCTCAGATGCAAACACTTTCTCCAGCTTCCCATCATCCACACTAAGCAGGCGCTCCAGCTCCTCCACTGTGGCTGCATACACATCTCCAAAAGTCTCCAGGCTGTAGAAATACGACCCCAGCAACCAACAATTTCGACATGTGAGGACCGTACTAAGAACTAGTAGAAAGTCCATTATTTGCATCACATTGAGATTCTCATACAGGTACTCTTTTGCATCCTTGCCATGATCCGAATGTCAACTGTGATAGTTCGCCACAAATCCCGTGACTGTCGAGAACATCTTTGCGAGTATTCACATCATTACCATTCCAAATACATTCTCAGCACAATCTCCCAGGCAAAGATAAGAATCGAAGTGTGCATGATCAAGAGAATTTGTCTAGGTGCCAGATAGGTTCCCACACACGGCTACCAAAAGCTACCAAGAGAGCATCCTGACTAGCCTCTCAAGCATGGCAGCAAAATTTCGCACACACCGTAGGCAACATCGGAAAGTGCTTACTCATCAGAGAGACATGCATCATTAGCGAAGTAACTTCGGCAGACATGCTAATTAGTAATTACTGGTATAACTGTTAAAGACAATTATGGTCGATTCCAAGTATGCGTCTTTTCCATGCGCAACATCCATCTACAATATCAACTGCACAGAAGTTTGATCCGATATACCCCGGATGGCAGTTAGGCTACATGAATCTTCCCCATCCTGCCTTGCTGTTCATGTGACACTACATGAATTGTGAAGTGGCATTCTCTTTCTCTCTGCACCTCCACTCTGAGGGAGAGGGAAGAAACTGTTAGACGATGATGTTCTCACGGCCCTGAGGAGTGTGATGGAGGGTGAGTGAATGATATCAGAGGTTCATATGTGGAACAGCCGAGGGTTCCGGGGGAGTGGAGCGTGGAGATGGGAAGGCATGAGAGGAGGGGGGGGGGTGTTCAGGGAGACGGTGAGAGGCAAGGTCAGGAGAGAACTTGAAGGGTCCTGAAAGAGTGGCAAGGTGGAGGGGGAAGTTGAGAGGAGATGACGTCAGGCAGAAATCACACAGGCTCATAGGGGAGTGGTGACAGCAAGAAGATCACGGAAGATTCAAGGGGAGTGGCAACCAGAGGGGGCGACAAGGGAGGAGCGGGAGAGTGGCAGCAAGAAGGATCTCACACTGTGTCTCTCAGAAGAACCAAAAAGAACAGTTGAAGAACAATAAAAGAACAGTTGAAGAACAAGAATTGGAGAAGAAGACGTACATACCTCTTTCCCATGGCAACTGATGGTGACAGCAAGGATACCTGCCCAGGGGGACAACTAACATGCGACTCAGAATGCCCATCGCCCCTGCATCAGGCTTCTTCTGGATAACGGCAGGGGTGGTCCAGGCTGTCGATCAGTGTTGGTCCGTCCCCCGGATTTCTGAAAAAGATTCCTAGGTTAAATTCTTGGGGGGCTGCTAACCACACCCAATTGCCCTTTGAGCCGTTAGAGACCCTTCCAAGACCTCCTAGGGGCCACCAGGCTCAAGCGGGCGGATCTGTCTAAATGCCCGTCCCGATAGGCGGCCCAGTCTGACAGCCGGGGAGAGGGGGGTCCCTGGCCAGTTGCAGCCACATGGGCGGCTTGGCTGGTCGCATGGCCCTCAGGGATGAATCACTTGTTTTGTCCGAGGAAAAAGAAAAGAGAGTTGCTTATATTGCTATATTGCTATACAACACAACTTTCCAATGACCAGATGTTGATTTATGTCTGTCGCAAAACCGAAATCTTCGAATATTTAAGTTTCCAACAATCCAGATAGCACATCCAGACACAGATATACAGACAGTTCCCATGCATTTCTGGAAGGTAACTGTCCTGTAATATGACAGAAATCACAAATAGGAGCAACTCTTTTGAAGGGGAGAATCACTGAAATCAGCTGTTTGTGCATCTGTTTATCCGCCTGTCAGATGAGAACGCACAACCACCAAACGTCACACACACACACACACACACACACACACACACACACCACCACCATGCAGGTGCTTTTCACAAGTACAAATGCATGTGTTGGTGGTGTTCCTTTCCTACGTATGTGCGTATGTCCATGCTCGCCGTAATGTGAGTGCGCACACATCAAAATTTCATAATATTGAAAGTTGCATATGTGCGTAGATGAATGTATGTTGGTTGTTTATGTGTGTTTGGATGTGTAGTCCATCTATTCACCCGTCTGACACACACCTGCACATGTGGAAGGAGATTGTATATGTGTCACAGAGAGAGAGAGAGAGAGAGAGAGAGAGAGAGAGAGAGAGAGAGAGAGAGAGAGAGAGAGAGAGAGAGAGAGAGAGAGAGAGAGANAGAGAGAGAGAGAGAGAGAGAGAGAGAGAGAGAGAGAGAGAGAGAGAGAGAGAGAGAGAGAGAGAGAGAGAGAGAGAGAGAGAGAGAAAGAGAAACAATGTGAAAAGACGTATGGCTCCCGTATTGAAAAATCTGTTTGTTAAATACTGCATTTTCCAGCACGTTCATACAGTATGTATGATTATGAAAGAGAGGTGGAGAGAAAGAGGAGGTTTGTGTGTGTGTGTGTGTGTTTGAATTCTGTGTGAGAGACAGAGGGAGAGTGAGTCACCTTTCTGTGCACATACAAGCGTCCAAGCTACAAGTCAAGCCAGTGTGGCTATGCCCAAACACATGGAATGTCAATGACATATCCAGAGTCTACAGAAGTATCCATCTACAGATCTCTCTCACTCTCTCTCTCTCTCCCCCCCCCCTCTCTCTCTCTCTCATGTGCGCGTGTGTGGCTTTTCCCCTTTCTTCATTCTCCATTGCCTTCTTTCCGCCTCGCTGATTCCATCTTTCAACTTGCGCCCTTCATCCCACTTCCAATCTTCCTCCCACCAATCCACTTTTCCCCATGCTCTTCTCTCCTTATCCTGTGTCTATCACCTCTCCTTTCCCCTCTTTCTCCACACCTTTCTATCCTTCTTTGGGATCCTCTTCGAGATCCTCTCTCCGAACACTCGACGCGGCCCCTGCAGATCTGTTGGGATCCTCTTCGAGATCTCTCTCCAGCACTCGACGTGGGCCTTGCAGATCTGGTATGTTCTTTCCTCTCTTCCTCTGTCTCTCTCTCTCTCTCTCTTCAATGCTCTCTCTGTGTCACCTCCATATCCACATTCACCCTATCCCTCTCACAACCCAGGCCCTTTGTCATCATCCTGCTCTACTCTTTCCTTACCTGTTCCTTCCACTCCACTCTGAGATCCTTTTCCTGCCTTGCGATCTCTTGTCTCTTATTTCCCACCTTGTCTCGATCCCCCTACACAACCTGCATTCCTTACCCTGTTGCCTTGGCCTTCTTCCCCCTACATTTCACCGGTTCCTGCATCCTCACCCTGATTGGCTGACATTCCAACCTCCTCTCTATCACACATCCTGGTCGACCCCCTCCCATTTCGCGCTACCCATCCATCCCCTTCGAGTCCCTGACCTATTCCTGCCATTTAGTTTAGGACCATCCCAGACGTCTTCCTCCACAACCTTGTCAACACCGGCAAACTCACCCTGCATTCTTCACCCTATCACGATGACCCTCCTGCTTTCTCTCTTGTCGCATCCGGTCCCCGCTTTCCCATCCTCCTGACCCCCCATCCGCATGACCGGCCACTTAGACCTCCCCATGGTCATCCTTCTCCCCCTGCCTCTGTGCATGCACAGCATAATCCCCACCTACTCCTGCTGGCGGCTGTGCAAAAATCCAGCCCCACTTCCAACATGACACCCCCACACAATTTGAACTTGAGCCCTAAACATGGACGGAGGGAGGAGAGGAGGGGGGGGTTAGGGAGGGAGGGGCAGAGAGAGATCGGGTGCACTTCGCATTCACCGGGGGAAGCCACCTATTTGGTTTTGGGGCCAAGTGTAAACGGAACCCTTTACCTCTTTGCGCACAACACCGCAGAGAGAGAGGGAGGACGTCAGGAGGGAGGAGGGAGGGAGGGGGGGCGGGAGGGAGCGTGAGACAGAAGGTGCACTTCGCTACTTCGCAGGGACTCACCTATTTCCTTTCTGGCCCAAGTGTGAATGGAACACTCGACATCTTCAGGAAGAACACCGCAGGCAGAGAGAGAGAGAGAGAGAGAGAGAGAGAGAGAGAGAGAGAGAGAGAGAAAGTGTGTGTGAGAGGGAGAGAGAGAGAGAGAGATTCGCCACAGTGGCGGCTGTTTGAATGCGCCGTCATGCAGCCCGTCGCGCATTCATCAGCCGCCGTTGTTTGCCCAACTTTTCTGGCAGCCCTCCAGAACAAAAAATCCCGGATGAAAAACTAGGCGTCGGGACCTTTTTTTCTTTGAAATACAGCATCGGGACTTTTCGTTCTGGGCGGGAGCCAAGCGACTGTGCCCAAATAAGTTGTGCACACCCATGAACTGTTGAAATTCAGACCCAAGTTTGAAGCCACAGTGGATCAGACCTGCGGCCTCAAAATGAAAAAGATCGGAATCTCACCGCGACAGTATAGCAAAAAGAATTGCGGCGCTGTACATTTCCCTATTCTAGGGGATGGTTCGTATTCTCATTGTGCACATTCCGTGAGCGTGCAGCGAGGCCCGCTGACGCAATTCCCAAAAGAGCCAAAAAAAAAGGCAGGCAAAAAACAACAAAACAAAAGACCAGACGGCATTCACATACAGGGCCTCCTTCCCTGAGAAGACTGCAACATCCACCGGCGCATTTTTTGCTGTTTCCTATCAACTCCAAGGTGCGCCTCGGCCCATCATTACGTTTTCTTTTCCCATACTCTTTCGGCCGGTTGAAATGTGGCGCGCTACCAGTTACGACACGTTCCAAGTCGCGTTTATCAGCACACCATTGATAGATGCAGAAAACGCAAAGCTTATCGGACAGCCCATCTCACGGGCACAATCCAGTCGGGGCAGGTCGCGACGTATCATTACACCCGACCTGCGTTACACCGAACCGGAAGAACTTTATTAGAATGTAGTAGATGATATGATTCCAGACGTTCAAGCCGCTTCCAGCTGTCTGGATTGCCCATGCATAGACAATCCCGCAGTAAATCACGCCGGAGCAATTTTCGCACCCAACACCAAATCA